TACATACATACATACATACATACATACATACATACATACATACATACATAGGCACAGACAATATTTTGGGTAACCTGGTTCCTAAATGTATAAAGTACTTTTCCATAACTTGATATCACTACTTTGAGAGCTGTACTGGTGGCTCCTGGGTGCAATTCACAGTGCTGGTTGTCACTGTTAAAGCCCTACCTGACTCAGGATCTGGGTATCACTGATAATGCTTGCTCCCAGTGCCAACTGAGTATTTAATAAGATCTGGAAGGGAGGCCCCTATTCCTAGGAAGTGTTACCAGCAATGGGGGGGGGGGCTCTGTCATCTCTGTCAAGGTCATTTTTAGGGTTCAGATTCAAGACCTTTAGGAGTTGATAGTAGAGATTCCATCAGTAGGGGGTTTTTTTCCTGATAGTTGTTTTTGTTGTTTCTTGGAGTGACATAAGAGTCTTTATTCTATTATGCCTATTTAATCTTTGTTACTGAAATTACAAATGTAATCAAGTAGCATATAAAGCTAAGTAAATAAAAATAAAATAGTCTCAAGATGTTTTGGATAGCAACTCTCATTACCCCAGTAGGGTGCTCATTTATGACAATAAAGGTCATCACCAATACTTTAAACTGTGTATTTTAAAAAAAATTAGTAAGCAGCATAATTAATGTAAGACAGATGTAAAATGATCTAACAACATGACTTCTTCCACATTCCAGCAGCTGCATTTTATACTATATGTAGCTGCCAATTTGTCTTTGTAGACAGATATATATAGAGGGGTTACATTCACACATTGTGCTAAGGCAGGATTTTGTAATTATGCTTGCTGAACTTGGCCTAAGATCTAGTTCACATAAAACCGTAAACCATAATGGATAGTTTAACACATCATTCTAAGCCAAAACAAGCAAACTGTATTGTGCTGTACTATGATGTGTGAACCCAGCTGCTGTGTTGCTATAGCTTATCTCAATAAGGCATAATGTGAAAATAGTTCATAGCAACTGAAAACAAATCCTCTTCTAATCAGGCCACCAGTATGCAACCAGAGAAACTTAGTAAAAGGCATTCCTAATGACTTATATTATTTGGATATATAAATATAATGCTGAAGCCAGGAGCACTTCCACACCAATTTCTTCAGAGGGATTTTCAAATGCCATCCAAAGTAAGCTATAGAACATCATCAGAATTTCCAACCGCCCGCATTTGCACTTCATCTATATTAAGCTTCAGCTTCTTCACCCTCATTCAGACCTGAACTACCTCCAAACAGGAAAGAGATAATGAATTTCCAAATATTAATGAGGTCTACTTGAGTAAGCAGAGACATCTGTCAAAGGGTTCCACACATCAATCCTGTATGAAGTCTTCCTAAGCCCAAGGCCGAAGAAATCAAACTGTGCCATTGCACATGAAGCTCTTAGGTTTGGTTAGTTGTGTATCGCCATTTGCTCAGAGAAGTATTAGTTTGGAGATAAATACATGTTAATACATTTTAGATGGATGATTGGTTTGAATGTTTAAATATTTTTGAATATAAGGAAGGGGTTTGGTCAATCAGCTCAAAAGTGG